ATCTCAACAAACATAATAATAACAAAAGTATATAAAAATTACTTTTTTTAGATAAAGAATGGTGTAACATATCAAAATGTGCCCCAAAATCAGCCTGAAATCGTGTAACATTGCAGAAATCGGTGGATATGTCTTTAAAAGTATTTCTTGTGCCCAATTTTTTATAGCCAATGAGAGAATTTTTAACCACGCTTATTTTTGGTAATATAATTGACGATCTTTGTTATCGAACTTCAATCTTTACAATTTCACAAAACGCAGATGGATGGATTATGAGATTCTTGAAAAAAAATGAAGAATACGAAGACGATTCATGTATTAAGGTACCATCCCATTTTGAACAGGCCGATGAATTTTTTCCAATTTATCAATTCTTTTAAAAGCTACTGCAAAGGATGAAAATTCAGACCAGGATGATGTTGAACAAGAGAGAATTTTAAGAAAATTAATTGGTTTGGTAAATCCTTTTGATGAATTTTTTGCACTATATACAAATTTGATATAAACATAAACATACTTACATACATAATCTTATACATAGATTGATCCTTACCAGGAACAACCATATCTTTTAGGCCCACATTTAGAGAAAATGGTCAAACCAATTATTGAATTGTTTTGTTTCCTATATAAAATCAGCTATAGCTCAATCAATGATTGTAATTAAATTTGGGGCTACAGATAATCCTGATAATGTTCAAGTTCCTAAAATTTTGAAAAGACTTTTTAAACTTTTATATTATACCATGAAAATTTGTGGCTATAAAACAATTGGTAAAAATCAATCATGATGATATTTTTTATATAATTAATAAAAACATAATTTTTAATATATATATATATATATATATATATATTAGTAAAATTTTTCACACATGAAGTATCAGATTTGGAACCAACATTTTATTTTATGCTATTACAAGATCCAAAAGATTATAATGGTTGGGAAACAAGATATGTGTTATTGATATGGCTTTCTCTCATTTCTATGATTCCATTTGATTTAAAAACAGTTGATAGCAGGACTAGCACAGGAAGTGATAAGGTAATAACAATAAAGATAAAAAAAATTATGACATTATATCTATCTTGAATTTATTTTGTAATGGAATATTTTAGATTCCTCTTGTTGAAAATATGATAAGGTTATCAAAATTTTACCTTGAAGCCACTGGGAAAGAAAGAGATGGTGCTGCAATATTATTATCAAGATTATTGACAAGGTTTTATATAAATAACTAGACAAAAATAAATTATCAATACTCATGCAATATTAATTTTTAGATGCGATATGGCTGAAAAATATTTGAATAATTATGTTCAATGGGAAAGAGATGAAGCAAGAAATAACAAAGACGTTTTTACAGTAATAAAAGCTCACCATATTTTCCAAGTAAAGCTGGTCTTCCTTTGCTTAAAAATTAAATACTAATTGAATTTAAAATCAAAAGATTACAGGAATATTTACATCATTATGTGCAATCTATAAACTTGGTCAAAGACAATCTTTACTTCCAACATTAGAAACTGCATGGCAATGTCTCTTTATTCTTGAAGAAAATCAAATGTTTACAAACAATGCTTTAGTCAGAAAAATGCTGGTAAAATTGGCTCAAGGATTTGGATTATGTTATTTAAAACCTAAAATTGCATCTTGGAGTAATAATATTATCTGGAAAAATTTATTCAATAAATTACCAAAGTATTAATGTTATTGTTTGAACTGATTTAGGCAGTTGATCTCTAAAAGATAATTTACAAACTACATCAAAACCAAACATTGATCCTTCAAATATACAAAAATCATTAAAAGAAGAAGGGGAGGAAGATGAAGAAATTCCTGATCATATTGAAGAAATTATTGAAATTTTATTGAATGGATTGAAACACAAGGTTGATCTGAACAGATTTTAAATGTTAATTTTCAATCAATAAATGTTAATATCAATTTTTATTAAATCAGGATACAGTTGTACATTGGTCAGCAGCAAAAGGACTTGGCAGACTTTCACAGTGTTTACCACAGGAACTTGCAGATGATGTAATTGGATCATTGTTTGAACTATTTTCTGAGAATGCTTATAACGAAATAACCTGTTAGAATTGTCAGCTGTATCTGATTACACATGGCATGGAACTTGTTTGGTTGTTGCAGAATTGGCAAGGAGAGGGCTGTTATTACCTGAGAGATTAAAAGAAGTCATACCTTGGGCTATCAAGGTTGAAAATAATTTATAACCATTTAAAAATTTCTTTAATATAACATATTTAAAAAAATTTTTAGGCACTAACATTTGATTTGAAACTTGGCTCACATTCAATTGGTGCACATGTAAGATATGCTTGCATGTTATGTATGTTGGTCCTTTGCTAGAGCCTATGCACCTGAAGTTTTAGCACCTCATGTACCAGAGTTGGCTAATAGTCTTGTTGTAGCATCAGTATTTGACTGTGAAGTCAATGTAAGACGTGCAAGCAGTGCAACTTTTCAAGAAAATGTTAGAAGACTGGTAAATATAAAAATAAATTGGCCTGTTTTATTTAGTTTGTTTTAAACTAATTTTTATGTTTCAATAGGGTATTTTCCCTCATGGGATAGAAATTATTACAATGGCAGATTATTTCACTGTTGGCAATAGAGTAAATGCATTCTTAGAGATCAGTGTAAAAATTGCAAAGTTGGTATTTTTATATTTTTCAACTGATTTATATTATAAAATTTCAAAACTTATTAACTAATTTTTATATAGGTTTTCCAAATATCAATACCATTTGATCAACTATCTTAGTAAAGTTACAATATCTAATTGGGACAAAACTATTATGTTCAAAAGCATTATACAATTCAGCTTTTCTTGATATTAATTATATGGTCAATAATGTGCTTCACTTGTTAGTAGGTTTTAGATAATTATGAATTTTATATGTATTTTTTAATAATAATAATAATAATAATAATAATAATAATAATAATAATAATAAACTCATTTCTAGATACCACAAGTGTTATCACATGATATGCACACAAGACATGGTGGATTATTGGCTGCTGGTGAAATATCTTTAGCATGGTCAGAAATCAATGGAAATGATAGAAGTTGGGTTGAAATTCATAAAAAATTAATCGAGGTACTTGTTTAGTTATCATTGTTGATTTTGAACAAAATTTTATTGTTTTATTAATCATTTTCATGCAATTAGGAAATTTCATATATAATTAATTATTAATTTACCAAAAAATCTATTCACTGATTTTGGATCAGAAATAACATGTCACATTATATTTCATGTTTGTCAAAGGCAAATTGGCCTATTACAAGTGATATAATGGTTGTTTGGAAAGAAGTTGTGTATGATCTATTAAGTAGAAAAGATGAACATGGACAAGATGTGGCTGTTAGGGCGGCTAAGGAAATAGTTAATACTTATGGAATTCAAAAAGAAGAAATTCTATCATATTGTCACCGATTAAATTTGGGAGAGCGTGTTTTAATTGGTGATAACAATTATTTTTGTTTTTGCGTGGATCAGAATGAATAGGGGATCAACGAATTGATTTTGTTATTAGCGAATAATTTTGTTTAAAGAAGATAAAAGTTTTAAATAAAATATTTCTATTTTATTTATTTAGTTTTATTTAGTCGAAACTAATTAACTTGTTATCAAGTTACTTTTACATTAGGTCGAAATCAAGTTCTTTATATACATGTTCATTTACATATTAGCCCGAATTGCGCGATTCCGCTCGGTTTGGGCGATTCCGCTCAGATTGCGCGAATTCGCTCACTTTGTACTTGGGCGATTCCGCACGTTTTGAGCGATTTCGCCCGTTCCGGGAGAATCGTCATTAATCTCTACTAAATAAAGTTAAATAAATATGAATGTGCTACGGATTGATTAATAATAATAATAATACGCGAAACGTAACACGAATTCAGATGATAATAAATAATTGAAAATAAAAATAGAAATAAAATTTAAATTGTCCGGAATTAAGAGATTCGACCAAAAGATCTGCGTCAAAATCTAATTCCGGTAACAATATCCTTTTACACTCACTGGTCATAAATATAAGGACACTTGCAGATCATTGGAAATAATTGAACAAAGAAACATGAAAAAAAATA